CGGTCAATTCGGGTGTTTTTGGTTGGTGGTGCCGCCACCTGTGGCGCGCACGGTCGGTTCCCTTGCGTTTGACGTCTGAACGCTAGCGCCATCTGTTCAGCGTACTATCCATCACATGATACTCAACAGATGGCGGTAGTGTTTTAGTGACTATGTTTTGTGGAGAAAAATATTAAATGTGTTATTTCTGTTTGTCTGTGCATCTATGTTTCTTTTTCGTTGTGTGTGTGTGTGTAGGGGGGGGGGGGGGGGGGTGGTTAATGTAACCAACACTAATACCTTTCTTTCTGTTCTTTTATTCGTTTTCTATATCCCTTCACCATCACCCCATATCCCATCATTTTGACGAGAGATGACTTACTTGCATGGTGCATGCCCAAGTCGTACTACAGGATAATATGCTGAGCGTGGTTCTATCACAAATCGATAGAACTGAGGAATAATGAGGTAAATTCTACACTGTATTTTAAAGGAGCCAACTCTTAGCAGGTAATAATAGCAATTAATAATCAAACAACCATAAAAAGGTAAGAATGAATTTATTTATTTTAAATACAGTAATGACCCGATTTTGTCAGACCCTCCGCGCTTCAGATTTTTTTTCTTTCAATAATTTCACATAATCATAAATCTAAATTTTTCTCATTCGTCATTCGTTAAGAGGGATATTTAAAGTATACTTTGGTGCAATAGGTTCAAGAAGATTACTGAAAAAGGGCATGGGTTTTGTAGAACATTGGAAAACATTTCCAAAAAAGGAGGTTGACAAAATCGGGACATTACTGTATTCCATTTACATTTACATGATTTATCACATATTTCCGGAGAGCTTCGAGGTTGGAGCGTAGTTGCTTTTATAGATTGGCACGTCATTTGTCGGTTTCTCGCGGATTGGGTTCAGTCTGGAAAAATTAATAACACAAACAGGTAGAAGAATAGTTCCTCTATGATTTGTTATAGTTTGTTTGCAGGATTGTTCTTTTGTTCGCGGGAGGCCGACGATTGCCGTGTTTGTTTGCAGGGGCGATTGCGCCCAGATCTCGGGGTTCTCCGGATTTATGGTCGTAATCTAATACACACATTTGATCACAATACGAGCCTAAAAGCTGCAGTGACCTAGTGAGCACCATAGCTCGAGTCGTCTGAAAGTATTGTGTATCGCATGGAGAGCCCAACCGAGATTCTAGCCTATTAAGACTGCAGTTGGTCAACTCTCGAAAAAAAAGGATGTAACCGATTACAAATATTTTATTTTTTGGTTCGTTAAACGATTAATCGATTATTCGAATGAAAATCGGCCATTACTAGATGAATGTGAAACGTCATTTCAAATATAAGGACCGTACATAAATAATGATACAATTTGAAAGGGACCAGGACTATTACAAATTACGTCCCCCGGTAACTGGCATAAACACGAGTGCTCACCGGTTGGTTTTAGTATAATTTGTGCTAATAGGTTTTGGGACAAATATTAGACGGTAATTTGATTATTTTACATCAATTAATTTATGTTTATGTGTAGTTAACTGCGCCGTTTCTATTTTTAAAATTTCAGCAGGTGGCATCAACATTTTGAGACTGCTAATAGTTTTTAATATTTTGTAAGAAATAAAAGGCTCATAAACATTTCTATGTCATAATAATCAAGCCGTCAATAATTTGCAATTTTATTGGCAGATATAAGTATTAATTAAAAATCGTGGTCTGTCCAGGATATACAATAGTATTATTACCATAGAGGTAACTCTAAGACTAGTACACACCACATTTGAGATTTAGATTTCAGTGAAACGGATTGCTGGATCATGATCAGCAAAATAATGCTTTGTTGAAAGACAGCAAACGATATTTTTTTCCCGAAAAATACAGCTACCATAAACGGTTTGCTGTACACCCAGTAATGATCTGTCAAACTATTAGCGTCACAGTCGCAAGTACGTACGCACCACCGTCTACATCGGAGGAGGAGGGGGAGAAGGAAATAATTTAAATTATGTTGGTATATACATACACTGGTTATATCTAATAAAATATATATGGCAAAGAGCCAGGTGATCAACAATCTTCCTCAGAAGCTGCATGCTCCTAGTAAGAAAAAAAAATCGATTTACTGAGTCTATTCAGCAAAATGTTGCTAAATGACAGAATTTGGGATTGCTGAAAAAAAAACAGTAAAAATGAAATCTTAAATCTTTACTAATTTTCAGTCAAATGTTGTCATTTTGACAGAAGTTGGAATTGCTGGAAGATACAGCAGCATTATTTTGCTGGAAAGTTTGTTAATCTTTCATCAAGTCTAAAATCAGCAAAATTTTACTGATTTTCAGCGATTTAAATTTGGTGTGTACACACCAAATTGAAGTTTTAAATATCAGTAAAACGGATTGCTGGATCATGATCAGCAATCCAATGCTTTCCTGAAAACAGCAAACGATTTTTTTTTACAGAAAAAAATCAGCTAACATGTACGGGTTTGCTGGACACACAATAAAGAGCTGTCAAACTGTTAGCATCACAGTCGCAAGTATTTTTGCATTCGTACACAGCAAAAAAAAAATTAATATTGATCAATGTAATTCAAGCTGATGTATGAAATAATGATGTAATAGCAAAAAGCAGATACAATATTACATCAATGGATGTAATTTTGTTCGCAAAATCGATGTACATCGTATTTCACAACCGATGGATTGACCTGGTTGCAGCAGTTTGGATCACACAGAGAAATATATTTTAATTTCAACAATATTCTGTATTGAATTCAATAAAAAAAAATCGTTGTCTCCCGGCTAACAATAAATATTGTTGACACAATAATTTTTTTTTATTGAATTCAAAGAAAATAATTTTTATTTTTAAATCATTGATCAAAAATTATTTTCTTTGAAATGGCGAAACAATTTTTAAAACAACAATTTCTGTTTGTTGAATCAAGAATTTGTGTTCTTTGAATCAACAATATTAATTTGTTGGCTCAATAATATATCTTTTTTATTTCTGACGTTTTTTTCCAAAGGTTTAAAAGAACAATTATGCTTTTCAATGTATTTTATGTCATTTAAGTATTTAATACATTAATCTTATTACAATACCTAAAATACAGCAAGCAGTTCGGTATGTGGCTTTCTGCGATACTAGCGAAGTAGCGGCAGTTGGCTGCAACGATGCAAGTTATTCCGTTAGAATAAGAAGACCCTAAAAACGAAAAAAAAGCAAAATTTTAAAAAATATGATGCACAATATGCCAACATTTCTTAACAATAACAATATCCATTAAATTGAATTACCTGAGATTTTCTCCATATTCAACCCGTAGATACATTTGATCCGCTCCACCAAAAATGGGATTGGAGTCAGCTCTTCCACTTCACAACGCTCCATAATCAGCATCACTGTAAAGAAATTAATTATTAAAGCAATTTTCACCAATTACAAAAAAAAAACTACTCACCGATGAAACAGCTGCCCGTGGCGGACAGTACAAATCTGTTGAGAACCTCCACAATTTCAAGCGGACATTTCTTCCACTACTTTTATTTTCGGTTACTGTCACAGAATGGCGGTCAATTTGCTGATTGCGTTTGATTACATTGACAAAATGCATCAACAATTTTTGTTGTTGAATAAACGAAATTTTTTAAATTCAAAAATATGTTGTTTTGAATTTAAAATAAAATATTGTTCATTCTACCATAACCAATTTTTAAAACAAAAATATCGAATTGTTCAGTTCAAAAAAGATTTTTTTTTGTTTCAACTACATGAAATTTCTCTGCGTGATGTAATATTCAACAACTTTTTTGTCTGTGTACATCATCGTCAACACCGCAGGGGGAGGAAGAGGTTAAAACATTTACAAATAAATAAAATTATGTAGGTAGGACACTGGTTATATTAAATAAATTATACATGGAAAAGAGCCTGTCGATTTTGTCTTTATTTTGTATTAACGATCTTTTACAGAAGCTGGAAGTTCCTAGTGAAAACAAATTTGATTCACTGAGTTTAATAGTTTTATCAGCATAATGCTACCGAATGTCAGAATTTTAGATTGTTGAAAAAATCAATAAATAAATATTGCTGAAATCTTTTACTGATTTTCAGTAAAATGTTGTCATTTTGACAGATGTTGGAATTGCTGGAAAAGTCACTAGCATTATTTTGCTGGAACGTTTTCTGACCTTTCATCAAGCCTAAAATCAGCAGAAATTTGCTGATCTTCAGCGATTTAAATTTGGTGTGTAGGTCCCGAAGAAACGTGCTCAACTTTTTGGCTCAGCTCTGGTACTCTCTTCGGTCCCAAGCTAATCGATGCACCCCTCGAAACATAGGAAAATCCACGAACCCCTCATTTTATCTGTCAAACTTTCATAGCGAATCAAAACAAACATAGTGTAGTACTGGAATTTATACTAGAATGGGGTACGTTAGTCGATTTGCTTGGGACCAATAGGCTAGTCAAGTAGTGAGTCAATTTAAATCCCTGTGATTATTATTCTATGGTGCCAAATCTTTACCTCTACTCTTGTGCAGCATGGACAGTGATGTTTCACTGTAGACCTGGCCCCAGGGTTTTCTGTGATTGAAAATGAAAATTAAATGAAATATAATAAGAAGTACTGCCTAATTAGGGCTGTTGTTTCATTCTTGTGAATGATTTATTTTTTTACCAAATCAGCTGATTCAAAACGAAACTAATACAGGCATATTTATAAATGGATATCAATTTCAGTCAACCATTTCCATGACAGTCGTAAATATATCATTGATGAATATATGCACATGCACGTGGAATCTCTTTTGTGGTAACGGAAAAAATATCATAATCGAAAATTGAATAGTGATCCACTTGCGTTACGAGGGGACGGCGGGACGGGGCAATGTCACACCATCTTTACTTGTTCAATAATAGCTCATGTCGCCAGAGGGATTTCTCATTATTTCCGGTGTCTTACTAGCATCAATCATCTAATGTCCCTTTCCATTCTAATCCACAGTCTTCAACCCGAACCCGGACATCCTGACGAACATCCTGCTTGGCCTTACCTCGGAATCTTCGGTCATCCGCGAGTGTGCCCTGAAAACGCTCGAAATCATCGCATCCGGTACTCAGAGCTACCTGGATCCTCCGTACAAATCCTTCCTGAAGAAGCTACTCAAGCGTCGCGAAGAACTGGCCATGGACGGCGAGCAGCTGTCGTTGGTAATGTTCACAATCTTTTCCTACGACAAGAACCACCTGCTGGGAAACGTGCTCGCGGATTTACTCAATAAGAGCACCAGCTCGGACACCGCGGAATATGTGGCCGCTGGTTTGTTGGACATCCTGAAGCTGCTGGACGATGAGGACATCTTTGCAAAGGTTGTCGTTCGAGGGGCTAGAATTCTCAAACAAGCGGAAGATGCAGGAAACTATCTGTTTGATGCGTACGAATCGAAATTGTTGAAGCTGTTGGTGGCGAGAATCAATCCGAACACAACCAGAAATTTGACACGGGTCGATCGGTGTCGGGAGTTTGTTCGAAGTGCGCTAAAGAATCATCGCCCATTACGTTGCTTCGAACAGAAGCACGTTTCGACTTCGATTCTTCTAATTGAGGCCATCAGTGAGGAATTATTTGCGACGTTTTCCGATGAGTATGCGTCGGAGATTCTGCGGTTGGTGGTAGAAGCTGCAACGCTGTCGCAGAATCCGGAAACGAATACTGCTGCGGGGAAGTTGTTCAAGGGTTTGAAAATGGATGTTTCGTTGGTCTTGGATCTGTTGGAACAGATGAAGGTGCCGCACAAGAATCGCAAGGAGAAGGGAAAGGCGAGAGGTCCGTTGATTCCAACGGATTCGGTATTTTCTTCCACTGCGTGGAAGTGTGGCGTGACGTTGATGGAGTTGCTTCAGAACAAAAAGCAGATGATCAGTAAGGAGCTACTGATTCCTAAGCTTTTCGAGGTGTTGAAGTTCTGTTTGGATTTTGAAGAACAATCCGGTGTAGAGTACGTCAAGCAGATGATCCTATCGCTGCTGTTCAACTGTTGTGTTGGTTCGGAGGAATCTTCCGGGAAGGGTTCAACGATTCCAGAGAGTATTTTCAAGGTGGAGTTGATCGTACAGTGTATCCGTGCTACTCAGAATCCGCAAACGCATCACCATGCCTTGCTTTTGTTGGCTCACGTGGCCCATTTGGTACCGGAACAAGTCCTGCACAACATGATGGAGATCTTCACCTTCATGGGATCGTCCATCGTTAGGCACGATGACGTCTACAGTATTCAAATCATTTCGAAGATCATCGAAACAATCATACCGACTTTGGCTATGGAGAAGAAGGCGCCCGGAAAGAAGAAGGAGGAAAAAGTGATTCCAATATTGAAGATATTCTCAGATGTCATTCTGGATGTACCGGAACACCGCAGAGTACCATTGTATACGAAACTGATCCAGACCTTGGGAGCAACCGAACATCTGTGGATGTTCTTGGGTGTGCTGTTGGAATCGGATGTCATGAAAGGAGGCAAGAAGGCGGAGTTGGAATCGGAAGAAAAGACCGGCAGGAAGCGGCATAAAATTGAATTGGAACATTCGGCGACCTTCAGTAAAAGGTTAGAAATAGCGATGAGCATCGCTAGGGAGTTTGAACCGAGCGTGATTATGGAAACATGCAACCATCTTCTTCAGTACGTTATGGAGTTGCCGGTGCATATCGAGACGAAGAAGGACCACATGGAGGTTGACATTACGGATTCGACCATCTTCAGCATCGAAGGTCATACGAATAAGCAATTGAGGCATTATCGGTATTCGACAAGCTTGTTCGTTGGTGAGTTAATCGGTTCCACCCAGGTCAAGAACAAGATTGTCTTGCTGGATGAAAAGGAATCGGATGCCATGAGAGTTCACTACCGGGAGCTGATCGTCAGCAGCTTGGCTTACATTAACGTGGTGGCGAAGGTGGTTGAGAAAGCTCGTAGCGAGAATGATCATCGTGAAACGACATACTGGGAAATTTCGTTGACCAAGTGCTACGAAATATTGGATGGAATAGTTGCGCTTCTCGCTCCGGCGATGTTGATTACCGTTTTCGGAGGTTTGCTCAAGCACCGTTTGATCATCATTCGCCTGAGGGTGATTGACATTTTCAACAAAAAGCTGCACTACAACCCGGACTATTTCGATGAAAGCCATCACCCTCGTTTGCTTGAGCTTCTCGGTCCGTTGCTGGAGTTGGTCAGAGGAATTCTCACCGAAGAAGGTATAGTTGGCAGCCATTCCGGACGGTACAAGGTTGCCCAGGAAGCATACCTGTCATTTAAGTATCTCTCAAAGGTACTAGCTCAGAAGCACCCGGCCGAATTCAAGCAGATCCTCAACGGATTGGTTCAAGAGCTACACGACTACAAGAAGGATCCGAACTCTTCACTGCTGGCTTCCTTGATTCTCTGCATTGGGGAAGTTAGTGTCAACGTCGGAGCGCATTCGATTCCATTCCTACCAAAATACATCCCAATGTTGACCAAATTCATCGGTATGCAAGTACAAAAGGATGAACCTTTCGATATCCTCACCGGTAGCATCGTCACTTCGATCTTGAAGATCGTGGATTCTCTTGCCCGCTTTCTCAGCCCTTATCTTATATCCATAATCGTAGGGATTGCCAAACTACACGCAAAACTTGGTGATAGTGAAGATCTGCGACTATCTAATATATCCACTCGTCTCTCGCAGATTTGGGAGAAACTTGGCGCTCTAATCCCACTACGGCTGCTTATTCCAGCCGTCGAAGAAAGCTACACCCTGGTTGTCAAGGACGGCTCACTGGACGCAATCGGCCCTCTCATGAAGCTCCTGTCCAACTCCTTTAACAGCGTCCAAACCGGCGAGTTCACTTCTCTACAATCAGAACTATCGGACTTTTTCCTGTCCGCGCTCCAATTCCGCTGTGACAATTCATCCAGCGCCAAATTCCTCCCTGAATCGATCGACATCGCCGAAGAACACGTCATCAAAGCATTCGTCGTCCTGATCCTTAAGCTCTCGGAAAGTACCTTCCGCCCGCTCTACTACAAAGTTTTCGAATGGGCCAACCGGGATACTTCGACCAACGATCGTGCCATCACGTTCTTCAATCTGTCCAGTCACGTTGCGGAAGCACTGAAGCACCTGTTTGTCCTGTTCGCCAGTGAATTGATCACAAACGCTGCTAAACTGCTCGACGCCACCAACGCTTCGAAGGTTTCCGACGAAGAAGACATGCTCTTCTCGGTGCCGAAGAAAAATGTCACCCTGATTCGGTACATCCTCCGTACCCTGCTAAGCATCCTAGTTCACGATAACCAAAACTTCATAAACTCGGTCCGATTCGACACGTTGCTGCAGCCGATCGTCGACCAGCTGGAGAATACGATCGTCTTCGAAGACAACGAGATCCGGGGTTTGGTGGTGAACTGCTTGGCACAGATGGCGGTTGCCGTGGCGGACGACACCCTGTGGAGACAACTCAACCATCAAGTGCTCCTCAAGACGCGGAATAATGATCCGGAAATAAGGTAGGCTTCAAAAGTCACTGAATTTGATACATTCTCATTACAATTAACTTCCATCCCATCCAGATTGTTCGCGCTGGAAGCCTGCACGGAGGTGGTTCGTAAGATTGGCGAGAACTATGCTCCGCTGCTGCCGGAAACCATTCCGTTTTTGGCCGAGCTGCTGGAGGACGATAATCAAGCGGTGGAGAAGGCCATCCACAAAACGGTTCGCGAGGTGGAGAAGGTTACCGGTGAACCGTTGGGCAAGTATCTGTAAGCCCTCGGTCAACGATAGTAGGCTTTGCGGAACAGGAAATGTCAGAGGGGAAAAAGTGTTTTCTAAACATTGTGCATAGTTATTAAAAAAAATTTGGTAATAATTAATTCGATGTGGAGTAATCAGCTATGCCGAAAGAAAAGCCTGGAGTGACTATTACGAAGTAGTAAGTGTTTTGGTCATTATAGGTATAGGTATTTATTCAGTTTAAAATTACTCAAACGTAATGTTTCAATTTACGGACGTCCTTGACTCAGTTGGGAAATTGGTCGACTTCCCTGCACTCCAAAAAATCTTCACGTTTAAGCTACGTGAAAAATCACGTAACCCTTTAAACACCCCCACTTCAATCATTTTCACGTGCCGCAGATCAATGTCAAATGGAATTTTGATCAAATTTACGTGATTTTCATGTCGGTTGATACTACGGGAATTTCACGTAAAAAGAATGTGATAAGCATGTACACTCTACAAAGTATACACGTTCAACCTACGTGAAAAATCAAGTAGCTATTTCGATTACTTCAACTTTCATTTTTACATGATGGTAGTAAAATTGACAAACATACCATGTAATGTTCACTGGAGCTGATGATGAAAGTACTTACGTGAAATGGGTTTACGTGATTTACATGTATGAAAAAGTTATTCAATATGGCGTCGGCTTCATTAGACGAAGGGTTGCTCTCAGTTTTGGATTTCCTAACGCTAACACTGCATAAACTAGAAGGTGTTTTTATACTATTTTACATCATTCGAAGACCGCGCCAATAATTGTATTTATTTAGATTTTAGAGGCTGGAATCAATATCATTACTCTGAATAAGACAGCGCAAACAGATATTGCATCAGAATGGTTCTGATCAAATATTTGAGGCAACGAAATGTTCAGTGTTAATTTTTTAATGGCAATAGAGAAATGCTTGACGTTTCATTAAAAAAAATCTAAAAATGTTTAAATATTATTTTCTTGGTATTTTTGGGTCCTGTAAACATTGCTTTCAGATCACGTAAACATTACGTGATAATTCATTTCAATATTAGTAAAAATCACGGAACGTAAACGTAATATAAACCAAAAATGTCAGTAAATATCATTTCAAAATCACGTAAACATTGCGTGAAAATCTATTCCAAGTTAAGTGGAAATCACGTAAAATTTACCGTACTGTTCACGTTGACCACTAAATGGGAATTTTTTTTGGCTGCATGACATTAACGTAAATGTTACGTGAAAAGTAGTATGGACGAAAGCTACCTATGTTTTCACGTAGATCGGACGGGCATATTTTTTGGAGTGTGGACAAAGGCAGTATTATTATATTTGGCATACAGCTACATGCTGTACAATCGCTTAGCTAAGAGCATGCATGAAGTTCCAATTGGAATGTAATATTCAAAGCACATATAATGCTTCCAATTCACACGGCCGTTTAATTTCACTCAGAGAGGGAGGAACTTTACACAGATGAAAAATAATTTTCTTAAAACGTAGGTTATTCAGCGCTGGGTGATCTGTTTTTATAAATTTTTCCTTAATGTGAGTAGATCTTACTCTCTATCTCTGAGTTAGATAGAACGACCGTGCAGTGTTCCAGTCAAGGGTAAAAATCCCTTCTAGAGCAGAGATAAACTTCTCATCCAGCTGTACGCCTATAGAAGCGCATAAAAAAAGCTTTATCCTAGTCTAAAGCTTCAAGTTTCAATCTTGAATGCAAGCTGATTGTGGTATGCAAGATCTTTTATGCTCAAAATACATGAAGAAATTATGTATCTTTTCTACTGACTTGAATTTGCTGCCTGCATTACATACCCGTGTTGAATTCATGTGTTGAATCGGAACCTACCTAACTAATTAAAACCAAAGATTTAAGTAAACTAAAGGAGAAAAATCTATTCAACTCTCTTCATTGATGGCTACCAAGCCTTTGGGATTTTCCTTATTAGAGAGTTGAATAGATTTTTCTCCTTTAGTTTACTTAAATCTTTGGTTTTAATTAGTTAGGTAGGCTCCGATTCAACACATTGTAGTTTCATTTTTATACCTGTGATCTTGACTTTTATACCTACTCTGAAACAAAATCCATTGGCAAAAATACTATATTGCTGGTTTAAATTAAATACCCTCACCAATAGATTTTTGCAGAAAACAATTTCATTTAATTTTACTATTATTTCTATCAAAATTACTATGCATTTTGAGCAAGCATAGTAGTTTTGCTAGAATCATAGTAAATTTGTTAACATTCATGATAAACTAAACTGAATTCATAGTAGATTTAACAGTAATAAGCGTGGTTATATTGATAATTAGTGTTTTCTGCAAAATAGTATTCCTAACTAAGGTCCTTGTTTCAGTGTAGGGGATGAGTACTTAAGGGGGTTAGATTTTGAAAAGTTCTTTAGTGGGAATGACACTGATGAAGACTGCACATTGTAGTCGAAATACGTATCTGTAATAGATACCAAAATTAATTAAGTGGAATTAAATGGAAGATAACCTTTTCTGCTGTTTTACTTTCTTCTGAGGATGTAATCTTTGCTATCAAATTCGTTCGAAGCATTTACCTTTGAGCGGCAGATGACGCGATTGTACCTGTCACAGAGCGTTTGTATGAGGAAATGGAAGAGTTGCCAGTCTTCTTGATATGTTGTCTTCGGAGTAATGCAAGGATATTCATACTCTCTAATATAACCGCTTTCAAAGCTAATTACAGCTCTCATTAAATCGGCATGGCTATTGATTGTGCTACATTACCTGAAATGCTGTTACCCCGAAGATCATCTCAGCGAACACCATTCCTGATTGTTAGAAGAACGATCAACAATCAAAAGAAAGCAGATACTCGTTTGGGGGAGTGACATTCGGGGTAGTGATGCGAATCGTTCTCTTCCAAGTAGGGTTTTCGTTGTTTAATGATGCAAAAATGTGTTTTTGAAAAAAAGGTTAGCCTAAAATTATCGAATCCGTATAAAAAAGTGTCGATAGTATTTTAATTGTTTTTCAGCAATTAATCATGTTTTGTTGTTTTTGACATCATCCACATACAGAGGGCCAGTCACTTTCGAATGTATGGGAATGGTAGGAAACCATTTGGAAATGCATGACTATTTTCAGTTTTTATTCATTATCGTCTTTATGGGCAGTTTTAGATGCACAAAAATTGCACGAGTACATTACTATGGTGATAAGGTAAACACTCGTTTATTTGTTTCCTCCTGTGAAAGCATGTTTCGTCACAAATCGTGGATTTTCTGATATTCTCCATACTGCAAAAATGATTTTCCTACCACTGAAGGGGCGACATCTCTCGGATCTTCAGTATAGCTACTACTCAAATCATATAATTAATTGTTCAGTTGAGTTCTCAAGAACACATATGAATGATTTTTTTTCCTTTGGTTTGTTTTTTTCCGTCGATCTTGTTTTCCGTGCTGAGCACCAATGCTACCGACGTGCCAGGAAGGCAGCTCCCACACCTGGACCCTACCTATCGACCCATCAACTCATGAACCGGGGACCAACGGCTTTACTTCCCATCCGAAGGAAGGCGTGATCAGAGATGTTATGCCTCAGAACATCCCGGCGGCGCCGACTGGGATTGAACCCAGGCCTCCTGGGGTGAGAGGTAATCACGCTTACCACTACACCACCGGCGCCGTTGCACACATATGAATGAGAATAATGAGAACACGGAGAAGATAAAATAAGTACCGTAAAACGAGGTATCTTCGATACTACGGGTAACTTTGATAGTATAATATAAGGAATAAATTTACTCGCTGTGCTTTTTACAAATTAGAAATATTTGTTCCATATTGGGAGATTGCCGTAAAAGCTCGACACAGATGTCGCCACTGCATGATGATGATAATGTTGACAGACTGCATATAAAATTCATGAAAATTAGCATTAAATCATAATTTTCATCAAGCCTGCGTAAAATCCTTCCAATATAACATTCGAATTGAAGAAGAAAATGTTTTCACGATCAGACTGATGTGCATCTCTGACTTTTCCAGATGAACTTTCATGAGATATATTCATTTCATTTCACAGCTCCATCAACGCTGCATCGTACATATGATGTAAACAGAAGTAAATTGCTCAATTACTCAAAATAAAGATGATTTGTCATTTTGTTATCACTTTATAAACCATCGAGCACCATTTTATAGTATGGTGCGTGTTGAGTAAATCAAGTGCCGTTGCGTTTTCTGTCGAAAATTTTGAGTATCAATATGTTTACCTAAAAAAAGACTAAAATGAACATTTATTGAATATTGCCGTCCTATACAACCATTTCTCCATTATCACCAGCATGATACAATCTTTCCTAAGTACATTCACTTAATTTCCACTTTCATCCTAGTGGAAATCGCACATATTCACCATTTTCCGAAAAATGCAGCTGCGCAGGAGGTAAGCTCTACCTGTGGGTGCAAACTTGTTATGCATAATTTTCCATGAAAATATCTCCGATCCATACCGAAATAATAACAGTTAGTATGCAAACACGTTTTCTCACACGATTCAAGCAAAAGTTTCCACCGGAAATTATTAGTTTTTCTTTATGTACCGATTTGCCCCAAAAATCGTCTGTTTTACTTGGAGAATTTGGAAACCATCCTCCTTCTAGTAGTTCTCACTTCGAAATATAGGTGGCGAAAGCTTGGAAAAGTTTCACTGCAAGACGCCAATTCGCGTTGACGGCACCGTCGAAAAATTTTCTCTTCCAGCAAATATAGACAGTTTCTTATGAGAATTTTCGGTGGAGTGAATGGATAGTACAAAGTTCGCCATGTTTCACGCACAGTCTGACGTTTGCTTATGGATTTTCTCATAGGAGTAAAGAGCTACAGAGTCGCCGTCAACGCCAATAGAGATTTTCACGTCCGGTATGTGAGAGTGTGTTAGTGAATATCCGAGGAAAATACATAACAAATCGATGTCAAACTCATTTTGACAGATCTACTTTCATACATTTTTTAGGTTAGCAAGAGGAAAATAATAAACAACTTTACATGGCGTTGCTCCCGCTAGTGTGCGTGCGTTAAACGTCACTAAT